AATAATTGTAATGTTTATAACTATTTTTGTTAAGTATATTTTGATTTAATACATTAATAAATTATTTTGGAATCTTGTATTGATTTAATGCATAATGAAAGTATTGTTTCTATTTACTTTAAGTTGTTTTGATTTAATGCATCAATAAATGTTTCTGATTTACTTAAGTCTTTTAATGCATAATTAAAGTATTATATTACATTGATAATTATTTCTGATTTACTTTAAATCTTAATGCATGATAAAAGAATTATCTTTAAGTTCGTTTTGATTTAATGTACTGATAAATTGTTTCTAATTTATTTTAAGTCTTATTTAATGTATAATTAAAGTATTAATTGTATTGATGAATTGTTTTCGATTTACTTTAAATATTATATTGATTTAATGTATTATCTAATATAACTATTTGAATTTATTTCTAGCATATATATGAAAATTTATATAAATAAGCTTGATTTTTCCACTTCTTAAAAAATAATTTCAACTTAAACTTTATTTTTTTAAAACTAAATTTTATCTTTACAATCAAATTTCTTCTTTTACAATTTTTCTTTTCGCAAAATGCCATTAAATGCTAACCAAAAAAATCGTCACAAGAATAAAAAGAATATAAGTTAAATTTTATCAATCAACTAGCTAATTTTTCAAATGATAATCCTATTTTTACTTTTCTACAATAGAATCTCAGTCACAAATAATACTAACAAAATGTCTTCAACAAAAAAAATCAACTGATGAAAAGCTAAAACATAAGTTGAATTTTATCAATTAACCAGTTAATTTTTTAAACAATAACTGATTTTTTGCTTTTCTATAATAGAATCTCAGTTATAAATAATACTAATAAAATATCTCTAACAAAAAAAATCAGCTGATGAAGAGTCAGAATGTAAGTTGAATTTTATCAATCAACCAGTCAATTTTTCAAACAATAACTGATTTCTTTAATTTCTATAATAGAATTTCAGTTGCAAATAACATCAACAAAATGCCTTTAATAAAAAAAATTGACTGATAAAGATCCAGAATGTAAGTTAAATTTTATTAATCAATCAGCTAACTTTTCAAATAATAACTGATATTTTTGCTTTTCTATAATAGAAAAAAAGACAAAAACATATTTATACAATATCATTCAATGATAAGCTGATATTTTAAATCATAAGTTAATTATAATATACTATTTTTATATTAATATTAAATAACTTTTCAAATTATAGACGTAGATTTAGGAGAAATATAAAGACGATATAAGGAAATTCAGCTTCTATCAAAATTTCGATAACAACTAATAGCAAGTACTTCAGCTATGGCTAAATTCAAGATTCTAATGATTTGAATGATTTAGAATCAGATATATTATTTTTAATTTATTTTCATTCATTATTTTATAATTAATAATATATTTTCTTTATTCCTATATAGAGAATCGAATGTTAAAAGAAAACTTGTCAAATTTACCAAGAGAATTAAGAAATTAGAGTGACAAAATTCTAAAATAAACAATAAATTTGACAAGAAAAATGAAGATTTACAGGAAAGGTAAAAATTTGTATACTAATATCTTATATTTACAATAACTAATTTTTCTTTTTTAATATTTAAGATTTGACTGATTTGAGAGATTACATCAGAAAGTTTCAAACAGGCATAGAATGTGTCAATATACATTATGTATTGATCAACACCAAAAAGTGTTGATATATGAACCCTATGTCAATCAACGCTGTTTAAAAGAGCATTGATTAATACATGTTAGATATAAAACAACACATAGTGAAACAATGGTATCACACGATGGTGTTAAAAAATGAGTATACTAGTGTTGATTAATGTATTGCTTGACGTAAAAATACAATAGCAATCACTATAATTTATGGTAATTTTTATTATAAATTTCTACGCTAAAATGCATATGTATTTCAATACATTATAAAATAAAATTGGTTAATTTATAATTAAAGGCGTTAAACACATTTAATCCATAAAATTTGCATCATTTTCTAGGCTTTGATAAAGATCGTACAACTCTTTATCAGTGGAAGCATATTCACTGTGTTGCGGGCTATTCCGTACTTCTTTTTCCTCCTTGTACTGCTCATCCTTATCATCCTAATTAAAAATAGAACATTATAAGAAATAAAGTTTATGAAGCAATAAATATTTATAATGTTACTTGTTCGTTACGTTCAATAACATCTTTCTATGACTCAATCACTTCAGTATCAATTTTCGTCAAGAGATATTCAACATCAAAAATTGTTTCGAACACTGATTGAGTCCAAACAGCATTTTTTCGCGTTAGTTCCTATCAGATGCAAAAGCAGACTTGATGATTAACGCGATATATGTTTCTGATGACAGGTCATCTGGACCACTTGGGCAATATAAATCATCATATACTGCTTTTACCTCTTTGTTTGTCTTCCAATCTTTTATTTGCTCCTTGGACCAGTTGTCTCCAAAGGGCTTAATCCTGTTAAACCCGAAGATAGATCATAGGCTTTCTTTTACACAGCGAATATAGTACCCCTTCTTGATATGATTCGCCTAAGCAACTTTAGTTTATTCAAATAAATTATTAGTTAATAAACAACATAAATTATGACAACTAAAAATA